AACCCTAACCGCACTAACCCTAACCGCACTAACCCTAACCGCACTAACCCTAACCGCACTAACCCTAACCGCACTAACCCTAACCGCACTAACCCTAACCCTAACCCTAACCCTAACCCTAACCCTAACCCTAACCCTAACCCTAACCCTAACCCTAACCCTAACCCTAACCCTAACCCGCGCATTCGCACCCAAAATGCCATTCAGGGTTTGCATTGGCCGAACGCTCAATAAAACAGTTCCACAAACCAAAACTCACTTTACTCTACAGTTACATAAGTGTCCACGATGAAAAATGGACGAGCAGCGTTATTGCAGACAGTTAAGGTTGCCGCATCGTCATTCCGCAGAAGAAGAGAAACCAAACCCCCACAAAACACAGACAACTCAGCCACAATGAAGAAGAGCAACGGCCAAACAGCGACCTCCGCAGCCGAAAGAAAGAACTGTAAAGCCCCGTAACCAATGCAAGACACCCAACGCGAACAACCACACCGACACACACACGCACACACACGGAAATTGGGCTAACAGTCATCGAAAAGCGCGGCATCCACACCACTGCGCCATTGCACACCGTGCGCAAGACACGACGCCACTCAGAATAACACTCTCACAAGCAGCGCACTGTCTTCGCAAGGAAAGGGGGTGAGTCACAGCGCACCTCATCCCTTTGTCGTTGTCTCGGTCTCTTCATAGCCACAGGCGTCGCTGCCAGCACCGACTACGAAAGCATCCTCCACGTGCACCGCAATGTGTGTGCGTATATATATATATATTGTATTGTATTGTATTGTATAGTGTGTGCGTGCCTGCAGTACAAAAATAAAAGAGAAGGAAGAAGAGTAAAGCGTGTGAGAACGCACATACACACACACACAGACAGAATAGATGCAGGACGAAAAGGCGGAAAAAAGAGATGACTAAACCTCAAAATGGCACCGCAGCCTAAGCAGTGGCAACACACAAGTAATATGAATCAACAACAATAATAAAATTACTCCTCAAGATGTTTTCAACGAAAAAAAAAAAATTACTCCTAAAACCGTTTTCACAACCAAAAAAAAATGTCGTGGAAGACCCCTGCACGATCTTTTCAACAAAAAAAATGTTCATGTTTTGGCTGCATATTTCAAAAAAAGATATAGATATATTCGTTTTAACCACTGAAGACCCCGGTGTCCACACACCGTTTAACCTCCACAGGGAGCCGCAGTGCGTTGCTGTGGCTCTCATTCCTTCCTTCCTTCCTTCTTCCTTAATTTACCCATCGGCAGACACATAATGCCGAGAGCGTCCGCAAGGCCCAAGAAAAGCGGTGAGTTGTTTTTCCTCGTGTCTTTTCAAACGAATTAGATGGCCTGCGCGTCAGCCAGCACCGTGGCACACGTCCGCCCCCGCCAAAAAAAACCAGGACATAAAAGAGAAAGCCCCGGTCCCTCTTGCGGCGACCGCAGTGCAGGGGCGCAGTGAAGAATGTCCCGCCGCTGGGCAAACACGCACGCTCGACGCCGTCAAGAATAAATCAACCAAACAACAAAAAACACATCCGTAAAGCTGTAAACCAACAAAACACTCAACAAAAACACACATAAAAAAAACGGTGATTCGCCTCCAGTCATTGCTAGAGGCAAACAATATAACAAACAATAATGGATTGAATAAAATACATGAAAACCCCGTTGTACTGGCGCCGAGGGGAGTGCGCAATTTATGGAAACGGAAGAAAAAAAAAACGGAAAATAAAACAAAATGCGGGCCTACATGAGACTTTATTTAGTTTAAAAAGTGATTGGAGAAACGGAGATGCCCTCAGTAGAAGCATAAACCCCACGTCACCGCGGTCCACTCAGCACAGGGCTGCAAAGCTCCATAGCCCCAATAGCAGCAGGAACAGCCTAGACACATCCGCACACATGGAGCTGTCACCTGCACGGTGCGTGGGTGCATCGGTGCGATCAGCTTCACGTTTCTCAAAGGCATCGTAGCTGTCACCTGCACGCTGCTCAGAGGCATCGTAGCTGTCACCTGCACGTTTCTCAAAGGCATCGTAGCTGTCACCTGCACGTTTGCTCAGAGGCACTGTAGCTGTCACCTGCACGGTTCTCAGAGGCATCGTAGCTGTCACCTGCACGTTTCTCAGATGCATCGTAGCTGTCACCTGCACGGTTCTCAGAGGCATCGTAGCTGTCACCTGCACGTTGCTCAGAGGCACTGTAGCTGTCATCTG